TGAAATTCCCGTAGCATAGCTCTTGTCTGTGCCATAAGCGGGTGCATTGTTGTGGTGGAAAAGAATGTATTGACGCAGCTTTCCAGGGCATTTTTCTGAGATTTTTGGGGACAGTTTTCAGATAATGCATACATAATTAGCAAATGTAATTGTTTTCTCGCTCTTGAGGAAGTCAAACAGCAAAATTCCTTCTGCATCCCAGAAGACAGTGGCCATGATCTTTCCTCTATAATGCTTAGATTTTGCTTTGACTGGTCCACTTCCATCCCAGGGCAGCCACTGCTTTGATCGAATTTTGTCCTCGTGATTGACTGGTAGAGTGATGTTTCATCCCCTTACATAATTCTCTGCAGAAAAGCTTCAGAGTCTTCATCCCACTTGTTCCAAATTTTCATTGAAAGATCTACCTCGTTTGCTGCTGATCTGTATGCAACAGCCTAGGGGCCCATCAAGCGGAAGGCTTGCTTTGCCCAAAACTCTCCATCAGAAATGTGTGTGCAGAACCCACAGGATGCAGAGTGTCTGCTACTGATTCTGTGGTTATTCATCTGTCCTTTTCAATCATGTCACGAACAGCCTCAATGTTTTTGTCACAAACTGATGTTAATGGCCTGCCACTACGGGGTTCATCTTCAATTTTGTTTCTTACACTTCTGAACCAACATATCCATTTGTAGGTTGTTGATTTCTTTAAGTGCATTGTTACCATACATTTGTTTCAGAGCATCAATGATTTGACTATTCTCCCAACTGAGTTTCACTATGAATTTAATGTTTGTCCTGGCCTCAATTTTGGTGGATTCCATGTTGCTTAAATGGTGCCTGACTTTCAACTGGCGGAGATGCGTTGTTACCTGCATTTAACCCAGCACTGCCAGGTGAAGAAAATAAATACAAACTCTACACTCTGGAGATTAATGGCAATGAGCTAACTTTGAGCGTGGGAGTTCACTACATCAAGCCGAACGTCCTGCTCAAAGTGCTCTGGCGCGTTGCTGCAGCGCACAGCCATACTCCGCAGACCGAGCAGTTTGTTTTGCTTCCACTAGGTGTGACCCAGCAGTATCAGGTTAAGGGCTCGTGTTTGAACACATAACACGTTGGTACAAGAATGTTCAGGTGCATCGAAATCAAAATCCTTCCATATGATTTTTAGATATGGACTTTTTCCAGAAATTTTTTGAAGCCCCCTTGTATTTTATTGGATGCTTTTACTGCTGAAACAGTAAGTTTTTTTTTTTTTCTTTGCAAATTTTAAGCCATGCTGGTTCTTTCCTTGATTATGTAAACAGACCATATTAGGCATTCTTATACACAGAAAGAGAGAATATATATATATATATATATATATATATATATATATATATATATATTTTTTTTTTTTTTTTTGTAATACCTTTGCATAACCAAATGCAAATGGATTCCTCTCATCCCCTACTATCTCAATATATCGAGATTATGCCATGGACCCCCCCCCCCCTCCCCATTAGTGACAATCTTGGCCCTGATAGCAGGAGAAGCCATGAATGGTACCAGGGAAATTGCAAGGTGACTTAAAAGTAATTCAGAGAGTAATATGTAGTCAAGTGTAGGGGGCTGTGCCCCAAGCAAGGCTACTGCCCCCTAACCCCCATCCTGGATAATAAAGAATCCCCAAGTATGTACGCAGGAGAGAGCATAATATGCAGATGATTCTTCGTGTTCCATTATGGGTTGGGGGGTCAAGCCCCTTTCATTAGATACCATTGTGATTGATTCTGTGTATATTATTCATCTTTTACTCTACAATTTCTCTGTTTTATATTTCCATAAAGTTTCTTGCCCTCCCCTGCTATTGTGGCCAAGGTAGTTGTCAATGGGGGGAGCGGTTCTGCGGTATAATATTGATATATTTAGATAGTAGAGAGTGAGGGGAGTCCATCGAATCTAAAATCAGTGCTCTCAGTTATGCAAAGATATTCTGAAAAATTACCAGAAAAAGTAGATCATTATCCAAAATAGAATGACATGAAGCAACTCTGTGGTCCCCGAGTTTCTCACTATAGCACAGACTAATAAACCATCCCACAGGTATATTAAGGAAGGTAGAGCTTTGTAAACATTCCTTGCAATTATACACAAGTTTTTTCATTTGTCGTTGCTGAAATAGAAAAGTACAATAATTGATGCAATGTGTTTCTCTGTATACATATGCAAGTAAGAAAAATGAAGTTGGAAATACTGTACTGAAATTCTACAGAGTCAAGTTTAGAAATGAGTGAGAAATATCTGTTATCTTCCATGGGTTACGTCATATTTACTCAATTTCATCAGGGAGGCAATACAGGAAGACGACTCGGGGCGACTCGAGCCTTCGGTCACAGACATGATCCGGCGAGCCAAGCGTCGAAAGCTGCTGGATCGAGAGGCGAGCGTTCGGCTGGGAATTATGCGACATGTTTTCATCATACTGGATCTCTCTCAGGCGATGGCAGAACAAGACTTGAAGCCAACACGTCAGATCTGCACACTTAAGGTTTGCATTGTATTTGATATTCTGGGAGATGTGGTTAAAGTTAAGTTGTTGAATATGTATTTGCAACTGTCACCAGTTGTTTCATGTCAATATATGTATCAGTTTAGTTTTTTTTACTTTTCATGTAATTCCCAACATCTGTAAATAGCATATATATGAAAGTAGAGGCACACACACTGAAGCATAGACTGTAATTTCATCATAGGGATATCAGAAATTCTTTTGCCATAAAGCATAAACACTCCTAGACAGTCAGTTACATTATATCATTCTATTCTATATGTATTTCTTCTAAAAGTGCATTTACTTTTCAGATATTAGATGAATTTATCAGAGAGTTCCACGATCAAAATCCAATTAGCCAGTTGGGTATTATTGCAACCCAGAATAAAGTGGCTAAGAGACATAGCGAATTGAGCAATAACCCTCAAAGACACTTAGATGTAAGTAGATTGTATTTTTTCTTTCAGTCTGCCATCCTTTCTTTCTTTCTGTTCTTTTTTCCTTTCTTCTTTTCTCTGTTTTCTTTCATATATGCTGTTTCCTTTCTTTCTGTCAATTTTTCATTTTAAATTTTGCATGACAAGTATGATAGTGTTCAACTATCTAGTGCTACAACTGTAGTTATTTCCTGTGTCTAAAAAAAATGGTAAGATATTCTTTTCCAAAATTGTTTAACAACCCTAAATGGAAAAAAAAAAAAATTCTGCAATCGCGCTCTCTCTTCCTTATAATTTGTCCTTTTTTCTTTTTTTTCTTTCTTTTCTCTCTCTATCTCTCACTCTCTCTTTCTTTCTTTCTCTCTTTCTTTCTTTTTTGCTTTCTTTCTTTTCACTTTTCTCTCATGCTCTGATTCTCCTTTTCTCTCTAGCTCACCCAGGTGTGTAATATATTCACAGTGTATTAAGCGTCTTCATGAGCTTCCATGTCGAGGAGAGCCATCGATGCAGAATTCCTTAGAATATGCCCTATCTGCCTTGAGGCATCTTCCACCACACACATCTCGGGAAATTCTTATAATATACGCTGCCCTGACTACGTGTGACCCTGGAGAAATAGAGGCCACCATACAGGTAAGTCTATTTAATGTTACTGTTAATATATAGAAAAGAGAGTTTGGTAGATTTGATTCTAGTAATTTCTTCATTCCTTTTCATCTGTTTATGGTGGTACCAGTTTTATTTCATAACTGGAATCACAACTTTATGGAAACATAGAATTGGTATGGACTTTTTAGCATTTTGCATTGTATGTAGAGTTCTACTCTACATCGATGCAATTGTAGAGTAAAACTGAGATATGCTTATCTGATTTGCTGATATACAATTATCATGAAGACCAAGTGAAACAGTTTCTCAATTGGCGGTTTGTTTTACATCATTTTTACATCCACCACAGACTATATGATAATCCATGTATTTGGTTGTTGGGAGAACCATGCAATGCATAGGAGATGTATGACAAAGAGGCATTATCTTAAGTAATGTTAACCTTCTGAATATGTGTTCCCACTAAAAAGACCAGGTTTCATAATGGATTCCTAATGTCCTAATATCCCATTAGGAGGAAAAACAATTTGTAAAGGTAGCAAGAAATGTTTAAACTTTTGGTTACTGCTGTTATCCTGACAGGAGTCAAAAGGGTTAAACAGGGCACAGGTGTGTTTATCAGATGAAGGACATAGGAGAGGGAGTGTTCAGGTTACTGGTTTCCTTGGAGGTATTTGTCTATCAGAATTTGTGTTTAGTTTTAAAATTCCTGTTTTTCCCTCAAGGTTTTACAAGTGAATACTGATTATTCAATACTACTTCTCTTCAGTCACGTGTCACGTCATGTACATAACACATTCTGTGAAACGGGATATTATGCACATTGGGCATTAAGTATACATTATACTAAGGGATACTGTGATGTAAGTCATTTAACTATATACACTGGTTTGATTGTAGTTATGCATTTTATGGTAATATAAAACAGAGATGTACTACAACTTTAGACAATGTTAAAAGTGTCTTCATTTATTGTATAATGAATATGTAATTATGATTCATAAATTTTTTACTGTTATTTTTACATATTTTATAACAGTATGTCCAGTGTTATTATAACTGCTTCACCATGGTAACGATAATTTGTTGCAACCTTTGCAGAAAGTCAAAGATTCCAACATACGTGTTTCGGTAGTCGGCATTTCTGCAGAGCTACATGTCTGTAAAATGATAAGCAAGGACACAGGTGGGTCCTTTTCCGTCTCCATCAACGACCTCCACCTGAAGGAGTTGATTTTTGAGCACCTTGAGCCTCCTCCAGCGTCTGTCAAGATGGACCACACTCTGATCAAGGTCGGCTTCCCCCATCAAGTTAATACTGATGCCAGGCCTGCACTCTGCATGTGGTGAGTTGTGTCACATTTCGTGTCATTTGTGTGTTGTTTTATGACCAAAATATATACAATTATTTGGTAGATACTGTGTTAGATAATACTCTTTTCAGATGATTAGGATGTCATAATGATTGTTTTGGTAATATTATGGTAGAAGAGATTATTTTTGTTTGATATACAGTTAGATCAATAATTTTTTATCTTTTTACATTCACCCCCCCCTTTTTATCCACTTTTCCACATCCCCCTACTTCTATGAATAAAATTCCTACACAGATTTTAACCCAATGCTGCTGGGTTACACAGCACACTATGTCATGTATGCATATGCCACCCAGAATATAGTCAGGGCATGCCGTGGCATGTTCATACATGCCACCTGACAGCAACAGATTAAAGAAAATTTTAAGTATATTCGATGTCATTTATTAAGTATGAATTAGTCACATTATTATTAAACTTCCCATTACTTGATTACTGTAAGCTCTTGTTAAGGGGAGCAGCTGATTGGGAAGGAAAAATCATTATCATGATTGAATTGAGATGAAAATTATGAGAAGTCAAGATTACTGTGTAAATAAGAAATGACATGTAAAAGTTCTCCTACCTACCCCCCTCCTGCCCCCTTCTCCCCCCTCCTAAAATCAACTTTTTAAAAATCTGTCCTCTAAAGTGGGGAAAATGCTGTGCTCCTTTTCTATATTTTTTGTGAAATGTCTGCCCATAGATGGCTCTGCTAGTGCTTAGCCACAAAGGAGTCAATTAGTAGATCTTGTGACCTTACCTGATTTGAATCGGTGGGAAAAATGTATTTTTTACTAGTGATATGAATATTGATGGTGTTATTTTTAGTATAAACAGTATAATTACTATAATGTTATAAACATTAGTAACAGCAAAATAAGATAATGTAAAATATTTTTGTAAATCAAAGAAAAGGGTAAACGGGTGAGACGGGCAGTACTCGTAATTGGCTCATTGGTGACTTAGTACAAATGCAGCCATCTATGTGTAAAAACAATCAAACAAGTAGCTCACAGTGGGCATAGCCCATACATACACATCATGCCTGTTGGCAATGGGTTAGATAAAATTTGTGCCAATAATTCTGAAAACATTGCATTGTTACTAGTAAAATACTGGGCTTCCCCTTAATTTGACTCTTTGTTTCATTCAAATTAATGCATAAATGGCTGAGAAGGTGCAGTTCAAAGGTGAAGAAATCATGTTTTAAGATGTTTAACTTTATAAGTTGTGAACACTTCTCAAGACCACCCTCCTGGTCAATAAGGTTGTTTTTGATATTGGTAGATGCATTTTTCTATCCTATTTTGATATCAGATAAGTATTTACAGTTTTGTCCTTATTACAAACACGCAGGACTCACTAAGTGTTAGAAAGCCATTTTTCTTTCAGGCTCCCCCACCCCCTTTTGGGTAGTATCTCTTTTGAGAGTGTCAAAGTTTCCTCTTAGTTGCCAGGTTTTCTGTAGTATTCTTGTGCAGTATATCCTGTTCTTACTTCCTTCTTGGGCAGTTTCCTCTTTTAGCTTGTCGAGCGTCTTCTGCGGTCATTCCCGCAGGGACAGCACAGAGATGTAAGGTTGTTTAGTCTCTTGCTTGCTGATGAAAATCAATTCATTTTCACTGTCAGGATCCTCTTCTGTTCCTACTAATAATGATGCTCTTATATCATAACATGATTTATCATAATCCAGAGTAGTAGTAAGAACAAGTGAGACTAATTCTCTGGACAGTGGGATGTCTTGCTGGGCAGCAGAGGTGAGGCCATGAATGGGGGGAGTCACACACTTCTGGGGAGCTCCTGGAGGCACTACAGCTGTGTCCTCAAGCCTCATTTCTTCTTTTTTCCACTTGCTTTCTACTTCTTTCCTCTTGCATTTTGGAATTGTGTGTCCTGGTATGATGGCACATACACACCTTTCCTCTGAGAAGAGCAGAGCTCACTGATATGTCCCTGAGTCATCCCAGCTGAGATCATGCAACCGAGCAGGTTGCCCAGAATCGCTATATTTCCAAGTATTTCATTAAAATATATATTGTTTTATACAACACTGAAAGTAATTATCCATACCACTCTGCAAAATGAAAAAAGTACAGAGTAAGGGTTATAGTTCAGGCCATAACTCAGCAGATATAGTGAATATGAATGTAAAACTTCATCAGAATGTTGCCCGATGTAGTAGTTTTTTCCAAAAAGTGATATTTTCACCTTTCACTCCCCTTAAAGGAATAACAAATACAATAAGAGAAATTTCAGATTTTAGCGTTGAGCAAAATTTTGGAACCAAGGGCAGTATTCATGAAAGTTTTATTATTGTTCTTTATGAGTTTGTCTGGGCTTTACGCTGTTGCCATATCTCAGAGTTAATTTTGGTAATAGTACAAACATTTACATTGTTATAGATGTCATGAAGATGATTGATTGCAGTCATATGTTAAAACTACATTCTTCAATAATTCTTACTTCAATAATTACAATATGTATAACATTTTATATATTAACCCATTGCCTCCGGGGATGGCATGTACGTACATGCCATGCCCACTGTGAGTCGACTTGTTTGATTGTTTTTACACATAAATGGCTACACTTGTGCTAAGTATCCAATGAGCCAATTACGAGTACTGCCTGTCTCGCCCATTCACCCTTTTCATCGATTTACGAAAATATTTAACGTTATCCTAATTTGCTGTTAAAAATAACACCATCTATATTTATAGCACTAGTAAAAATACGTTTTTTCCCGCCAATTCATGGAAAGGTGAAATGAGGACTAGCAGAGCCATCTATGGACAGAGATATTTCACAAAAATATAAAAAATTATTACTGCATTTCCCCCATTTTTTGTTCATTTTCCCCGGCGGCAATGGGTTAAACTAAAATTGGGTAACCATTGGTTTGTTGTCATTGTATCAGCTGTGAAAGATCATTTATGGGGCTCTGTATAGCACACGTGGGCATCTGAAAGAATTCTCATTTGTTTCCTCTTTTCTTTCTGTGGTACTATAAAGACATTTAAGATAATCATTTAATATTATATTTATAAGGGTCAGGTTTTTGCCATTTGACTCAAATACTGTGTTTAGCCACATCAAAAGAGAAAACACAAGCAAAATTGCCTTTTTCTTTTTCCACACACAGTCACCTTGATGATCTACCTCCTCTGAACACGCGTGGATACTACTGTCCACAGTGCACTGCCAAGTATTGTGATCTTCCTGCCGAGTGCCGTGTTTGTGGGCTCATGTTGGTAACAGCTCCCCACTTGGCACGATCTTACAGGTGAGTTGTTTTTTTTTCTGTCTCCATTTCTTTTTCATTTACTTTAAGTTTTGCTTTTTGCTATTTTATCTTTCCCTTTCCTTTTTTTCTTCTCCATCTCAATCTGTCTCTTCCTCCTTTTGCTTTTTCTTCATCATTATCAACGTTATTATCTCCTTTTAGTCTCAAAAATACATTTTCCCTCCCCTGTGCTGTCTACAGTAGAGAAAATGACATATATGCAGATGTACTAGTTAACCCCTTGCTTACTTGAGTGTTAATCTGACAGGTGTGTGTATGCTTCCCCGTTGCAATATTGTTATCTCTTTTTTCTGCATAAGTATTCTTAGCTTTTTTGCCATTTTCCAATCCCTATATTTGTCATTTGAAATGCTGTATCCAGATGTAATAAACTATTTTCTTTGTTCAGATCTGTATCATCTCTCTAGTTAGTCCATAACTAAGTGCAGTAATAATAACAAGAAATAACATTTTGTTGTTTGTGTCATTTTTATATTTTTTCGTAATATTCCATTTTTATAATACAACCTGTGCTGCCAGTCACAGGGCAGTAATACTATCCTGAGGATAGAAATAGTGATCTCCCTCTTCCAGTCATGGTTCACACATGGTACATTCCACACACATTTGCTGATGGAAATAATGCTAGCCCCTTCCTAAATACCTAATGAGTCTAAGGACCCTCCTAGAGCTTTCGTGGCAAGTCATTCTTGTCACTTGGGCCTTCACCTAAAATTCTTATGATGGCAGGTTCCCGTCACCTTGGCCCACGGCCATATATTTCCGTGACAGCATGTTCATGTCACTCACCCCTCAAGCTAATTTTTTTCATGACTTGGTCATGTCATCCAGATCGTAAGGCATTAACAGTAAGGTTCTAATTGAAGGTGGTGACATAGGTAAACATCCCAGTGAAAGAAAGGATGATTATTGCAAAGGAAAGAAGAGATGGCTCAACATGGGGTAGATGAAAGTACCAAGTGTTGCATGGGGGTATACTCTCTCAGAGATAATCTCCCTCTCTTGTTCTTCAACTTAGTTACGAATATTGCAACAAACATACCAATTGCCTTCCTTTATATCATAACATGGCATTTGGGATTGATAGACAGAAATAATGTGCTTTAATGCACCAAACAAGCAGAATTTGGCTTCATCCCATACCAATTAGATTTTTGTTTCATTTGTTCAGTCATTTTTATTTAGTATATTTTTTCAGTATCAGTTACTCACCAAATGCGGGGCTTTACCATATATTGATTCTAGACAATAATGCCTAGAATATTTTTGTATATATTAGCTGACTTTTTATATATACAGTACCCATTTGTAATTGGAAATTTATGTTAGTCATATGCCCAATTTTTAAAACTTTTGGATTGAAAAACTAAAATTGAGTAAAAAAGGAATTAAAATCTTAAATTTGTGCATGATTCAGGCACTTATACCATATACAAGACTGTACATTTATAGAAAAGAGAATAGCACTAAGTTTTCACTTGAATCACCTACAAAACTAAAATTTCTTGCACTGAATTTCAGACACTTATTCCCGCTGAAGCATTTTGAGGAGGTACCCATTGAGGAGGATCAGAGCTTCCACTGCTATGGCTGCCTGAAGCACTTGACTGTGGCAGCGTCTGATAAAAATGTGAGGACATAGATTTTTTGGAATTTTTTTCTTTTTCTTATTTCTTTGTTCTTTTTTTTTATATGTTCAGTGTTTTTATTTGTCTCCTTTATCAGTGGAAAATTATAATCAAAATCAGTTTAATTTTTTTTTCTAGTCTTACTG